TTCCTTTTGTGTTCTCAGACTCAGATCGAGAGGTGAGAAATCGGAACATCTAAGAGACAGCACTCTACTCCAAATCCTGTAACTCTTTCTTTATCTAAAGCTTCCTTTATGCAAAGCTTTTCTGTGTTATGATGCAAATAATAAAAAGGAGATATATACCTTACTGATGGAACTGAGCAGGGAATGCACACCTTTCTTTAAATCAACGTCCTGATAATAAACATCCATTTCTTCTTGTTAACCAAAACAAGACAGAAAACATTTTATGCTCCTGCTTATGAATTTATGTCCTCACTTTGGTGATTACGTTGTTTACGGGGCACATTACTTAGATGGATAAGTTGCACACAGAGGCTCGGGAACCTGCATGTTTTCAATAATGGCACACACACGCACACACACACGCACACAACACACACACGCACACACACACACACACACCTTTCCATCAGTCGCTTGTTTATTTCCTAGCATTTTGTGAGTGTCTAGACTGTGAAAATATAAAAGGAGTTTTCATGAGGCTGAAGTGAAATAGATCACCTGGAGCTCAGAGTCATGATGCTGCCAAATCTGAACAGATGATCACCAGCTGAGAAATGAAATCTCGACACCACAAAAGTCAAGTGGCCAGCCAAGGAAATCTGGAAGGAGTTACTGCTGTTTGATAATTAAATAAACGGTTGAACTTAAGAAAATGATGAAAGGTGTTGATCTAATCTGACGTGGTCCAAGACTGGCAACATTTTTGATCATAAATCAGGTCTGTCTGATGATTTTGTTTCTATTTTGAAAAAAGAGTTCTTCCTTAAGACCCCATAAACAACAACAAATGAACAATAACTCAATTTGATCGAACTTTCAACATGTTTGTGTTTTTTTATCCTTCTTAAAGCTGCAATAGCAAATCTGATAAACACAAACATGGCCATGGAACTCTTACCTCTCCCGTCGGCTATCATGCAAATGTTTTGTTTTACATGACTTTAAATGGTGTGTTTCGTTTTGGGACTCTAGTTTGTTTTAAAGTTGAAGTGGTAGCAGCCGGCTGTTTCTCGTTCTGTCACACTTGGGTTCAAGAGAACCACGTCATAAATTTTATTAGTTATTTTTTTTATCTCCACACAATATTTATATTTGTACGATGTTAGAACATTAACGTTTTGTTTTTCTTTTCAACAGCTGTGAAAAGTGTTTTAAGCCAGCCTGTTGGCGATTTGCCATTTTAGCTTTACATCTTTAGTTGTCGTCTTCGTGATTCACAAATCTTTAATGCCAATAAAAGAATAAAAGAATATTGCTATTTTGGATTTTTTATTGGAGAAATGCAAGACTTAAGCAGAATGTGAGTTTATTTCAGAAAAACCTCAAGATTTAGGGAGATGTTTGGAAATATAGTTTAGATTTTAGAAAACGTTCTTTCAATAAATCTGTAATCTACAAGGATTAAAAGAATATAGTCAACAGCTATTTCCTCATAAAACACAATATTCCAGTAGGTTTTGTGGTTTAGACGTGAAATATTTGGCTCAAATTAAGCCTAACTGAACATGTTTAGTAAATGTTTGGAGGTAACCACTACTGGTCACTTTGCAGACAGCAAGTAGTTTCCAAACCAGTTGCTATTGCGTGTTTTAGACAGTTTCTCAAAGGAAAAACGCTGTTCAGATACTGTTTGTGAGAAACATATAAGTCTGAAAATCTAACTCCTCGCTGATAGGTGCCGACTCTTAAAGGTGCAACATGTCCTTTATTTATATAAAGTAAAAATTCTACAATGAATCTCAAAACTGTCTATGGTCTCAATCATGTTGGATGGAAGGTTATACTGCAACATAATACATCCCCAGTCAGCTGGTGATGGGGTGAGGGGGTCTCCTTTCAAAATAAAGGAAGGAGGGACATAGCTACTGCTTACCATCAGTGAGTGTGGGGTTGTCGCGTCTCCTGCGAGCTAACACTGCTAATGTGAGCTAGCGCTGCAGCGCTGGAATTTGTAATTCAGCTTTGGCAAAAAGCTCCAGAGTTGTTTGAAGAAACAAAGCCAATAACAAGAGTAGGGCTGCAGCTATCGAGTATTTTAGTGTAACGTCCAGCAACGGTCAGTTTTTAGGTACTGTTTGACCATCCAACATCTGGTCAAAAAGGAGACACGAGACTGCATGTGTTCCCTTTGAATCAGCCTGCCTTCATCCCACCAGCTGGAGCTCAGAGCCTGCAGCTCTGACAGAGATAGTGAAATCATAACAATAAACATTCTCTCCTCACAGAGCACCCTTCTTATCTAAGTCTCTTTGCTCAAAGAAGAAAAGAAGATTTTAAAATTAAAGATGAACTTCCACAACTAATAAAGTGAAATAATCATTAAATGAACATTTGTTTATTGCTACATTTAATAATTATAAAATAATGAAATATTTCATGAATCTGTGCTCAATGAAATATGTTTCAGCATGTTTATTTGACCAGGTCATAACAATTGCACTCACACAAGAACAATGTAAGGTAAAGTTAAATCCCATGACACACAAATAACCTTTACCTCAGTTCAGAGCCTCCGGTGTCAAAGAGGGCGTGTGTTTCTGAGATTCTTGGTAATATCCCTCAAACTTGTCAACCTCTGGTTGACTACACGATCATACCATGAGAACATTAAACCAGATTACTGGGGCTTCCCCCCAGTGCTAGAGAAAGCTTCAGACCGGCCACCTGAAGCAAAACCCTCTTTAACCACCAAAGCTTTTGACACGTCGTCAAAATCTTTTCGCACCTGCAAAGCTGATAAAGCAAATGGTTCCTGCAGAACAAGCTGAGATTGTTTAGACTCCTTAAGAGTCCACCAGAGACCTGACTCTTTTCTGAATCAAAACAAAGTGTTTACAATCCCCTAATAAATAAAGAATCCTAGAATATTCTGATTAAAGTAGAATAAAGACCAGGCAGGGTGATATTCTATATTTAGATTGAGTATCACAGCTTATTGGTCAAAAGTAGAGGTAATATATTTATTTAGCTCTTAAAGCACTCAATTTACCAAACTCTACATTAGTATTTGAGTACTCTATCAAATTGTCTATTGATTAATCGAGTATTCTATTAGACGACGTTTCAAGTGAAACAAGACTGTGGTCTGCTGCTAAAATTATGAAAAAAAAAATTATAAAGAGATCAACAATATGTTTTAAATTGATGTTGTCTAGGTCTCTTTCCCACCTGATATTTACAGTTAATAATTATTTTATGGAACAAAATTTGACTTACATTTAATTAAAATATTAAGTTTAATATCACTCATCTTAGTCTAAACATATCTAAATATATCCATATATGATCAGGAGAATTAAATTATTTCAGTAACATGTTCAATAGTAATCTACTGGAAACTATATTAACATTTAATATCTACTAGTAACAATGTAATGTTTTTTAGTTATTATGTATGGGTTGGCAACATAATCCAGTCTAAATAGTATTCAAATACAGAAGCGTTTGCGAATTACATGCTACAGCGGCTTGCCGCAGTCCTATTGCTGTGTGTGGATCAGACTCGCTAACGCTCAGTAACAACAGCAGACTCCAGGTAGCTGCTGCAGCAGCTCTGCCCCACACTGCTGCAGAGATCCACAAATAAACAGGATGGTGGGATCTTTCCTTCTGCTTCTGGAGTTTAGTCATTCACAATCATCACCTTTTTTTCTGAACTCCACTTGATTGTGATTTGTGAGCGTGCCAAGCACTAGCTTAGCATTAGCCAATCTACCCATAGTTTAACTCTTGATCCCAAACTTTGGACCCTTTCTGCCATTTACAATAGTTTCCGTCTTTGCAGGTCCCTCTATTTTCCTCCACTAAACCTAGATTACAACACTGTGCACCAGTAAAATGTGTTGAGACTGTGGTGCGCACATTTAGCGAACCTTTGAATCAGTAAAAAAAAAAAAAGAATCGAGGAATTTGATAAATCGAATCATTTGATGATTCATTTCAGCCCTAAACAAGAGTGACCTAGAAGTTATTTCTTGTACCCCTAAGAAGCCACAGCATTGTTTTGTTTTACTCTACTCTAGTATCAGGTAAAGAAGTCTAGAACCTAGTCTTGAGCTAACAATGCTAACAGTAAAATAGAAGCAAAAAGTCAGCTCTAAAAACATCTCAAGCTACGTTTCCAACTACCAAAAACTTGATATTACAGTGACATGTGTGTGTGTGTGAAGTGAATAACGAGTCGATCGTGCCATTTTACTTCATTAAATCAGTCATTAAGAACAATAACAGCAATATACAACCACACTTCCTTTATGCCAGAGGAATATTACTGCAATAATTGTAGTAAATGCACCCTACCATAAAACACTCAAGAGTGCTAGCACCAGCTATGACGATGTATTTGTCTACTTACTGTGTATGACTCGTCTTTGCTTGTTATCTAGAATCTATTGTAACTGACAACAGTCATGAAACTCCCGGAACAAGAGACAAAGAGGTTGCAGTAACCAAATCTGACCACAGGATGTCACTTTTACTTCATTCCTACATATTGCACCTTTATGTAAGAAGTCAGATTAAACCTTCCTCTGATTTCTGCAAGAACCAACCAGCAATCATTTAAAATTGCATTTAGCTTTTGTGCATCTCCACATTTCTTGACCTTATGTGAAAGTGTGAGTGTCCTGTCACAGTGTACCGATTGATCATGCGCCCTGGCTACTTGGCCAAGGGGATGTCCCTTTGGCTGACTGGTTAGAGCGTATGACTCTCACCCGGGAGTCTGGGGATCGAATCCCGCCCGGGCCCTCGTTTCTCCACCTTGCCACACTTAAATCACTTCAAACACATCTCTGACCTCCAACATAAGCAGATGTCTAATCAGCCAGAAGAAATTAAAATATGCATGAGGGCCATTTGTGTGCAGATTTCCATCAAATAAAAACCAGAAATTCTAGTTTAGATAAAAGTTTAGGCACTTGTAGAAATGATCAATGATGCTACAGGTTTGTTCGTACCAGTTATGGACCATCAGCTTCTGCACAGCAAGCAGGGCGTTGTAACGAACTAGCTGGTCCTCGTGGTGCATGTGATTCATCACCAGCTGCTTTCCACCCAGCTGCTCGATCACCCTGAGATGGGAGATAATGGGAGAGGAAGAGAGAGGGGGAGAGGGAGAGATTTTATAGATACAAACAACACACGTGATATTTTTCATGTTTCAGGCCATTCAATGATCCATCATGTAATCTAATCCAGTCCAACAGAAAAATTCAGTGCATCTTATAATGGGCCTGCAGCCTTGTGAGAGGACATGATGTCCTGAAATGAAAAACAGAGCTATACAATGTTTGTGGAAATGAAGAATTAGATCTCAACAGGATAAGAAAAGCATAAAAAACTATGCGCATGTGCAGATATCAGCTTTGTTGCATGATCCCACAGGTGTTTAGTTACCTAATGAAGACTGAAAAATAAGACTGTGACCAAACCACATGATATTGGCAGAAAAAACACAAATAATCCCTCAGTTTGCTTTTCCTTACTCAAAATGTAAAACTAAATGATTCAATCTTCCTTTATTTTATTCAGATTATTGCAAAAGTTCATCTATTAGCAGGTTTTTCATCTGATAAATCACATTTTATTTGTGCAAATTGTGTAAAAACTGATGCATCTTTAATTTTGCACACATCTGAATGTTTTACATAGCAATGCATCAACATCTTGTATGCACTTTTCCTAAAACACAAGGTATCACCTCTAAAAGCATGTCTAGAACTCTGCAAGGCAAAGAGTGGAAATAGTTGACCAGTTTTGGTGTCTTTAGAATAAAAACATTGAGAAAATCTCAGCAAAGTAGACAGTCGACCAAAGAGGGATGAAAAAAAAAAAAAAACCCTAATGAAAAGATGACCAACAGAGGAAGTTTTTGTATAGAAGTCATTAAGGACAAAAGGTGAACTTATGGACTAGACCTTTCCATTTTTTCTTTGTTTCATAGTTGCTGTTCACACATACACTTCACAGCAGGAGCTTTTCTCTTGGAGATGTGCTCTCACAGCATGAACCAGGACAGAGGAACACCTGTCTAAAGCACCCAGAAGGTACAACGGGGAAATTGATGGTCTCATTTTCCCTCCACAAAACCCAACACCAAATATATTACAGCTAAATCAAAAACATGCAGATCAGCAGAGGAAAAGGTGGAACTGCAACTTTCACCAAATTACCGGTACCTCTCTGAGTAAATGGTGTGGAAAAGGACCTGCACACGCGTTTTTTCTTAGCCGCTGGACTTCCAGGAGTTTTACTTAGATGGGTGGTTATTTTTTCTAAAAATGATCAAAACAAAAACTACCAAAAAGAACCAAAATAAAAAGTAGAATGTGTGTGCCAATTTAAACAACTTGTTAAATCTAATGTTTTCCATAATATCTGACCGAATGTATAGTTTGGCAAAACGGAGAAGAGAAAATCACACTACGGTACAGTTTTTTAAAGCGGAGGTTCACTGAGAAAAATGGACTGGTTCCTTTTGGAATATAATTAGTCACTCGGAGTTTCACATGCTGGCTGGATGTGAAAATAGACTTCAACCCTTATTTCCTGTATTTCCTGCAAAACAAAACAAAACAAAATAATAAAATAAAATATAAAATAATATAAAATAAAATAAAATAAAACAAAAGACGAAATGCTCGAGTCAGAAAAAGCCAGGCAGATCTACGTCACACTGTAAAATTGGAATTCATGGATTTACCAACATTACCTTGCAGCTGCAGAAGGCTGTTTTTGCTTTAGCATCCAGGAGAGAGTAGAGCACGTAGCAGCTAGACAGAGCTAACTGTTAGCATTAGCAGCTCCACAACATGGCAGAACTCCTTCAGGCTTGTGTCATAAATGTTTCAGAGCGAATGGAGGTGATGGAAGAGTAGCGTTGCTGTTAGCCAATCAGAAGTGAGATGTTTGCATATCATGAAAACTAATGAGTAACCCCTTCTTTCCACTGGACGTGAAATTGGTGTGTAACGTAATAGCAGCGTTTTACCCGCAAGCTTATTGCCAACTTAGAGCTTTTCAGATGTGAAACGGGGCGAAAGCGTTCCACACCACTGGTCTCACAGTCACAAAATCACATGAGAATTGCTCTGATGTTCTACTTACATCAGCTATAAGGGTTTCAAAGGAAATGACATACATTCAGTTGCATATCACTTTTATTTTGAAAGTTTCCAGGTGTTCTGCATTGCTTTCCTGTTAGACTTCCTGTCTGGCCCAATCTAACATGCAGAATTTGACGTCTTTTGGAAGTGTAGTTTATCAACAATTGACTCGAAACCCAATGATGTCATCCCTTCGCTTCTGAGATGCATCCAAAACGTTACACTCACCCTGGATTCTCATGTCAGTTCTCTTCTTCGCTCTTCCTTCTACCATCTCAGGAATGTTGCTAAGCTGAGTCCCATTCTGTCCCGCTCTGAACTTGAGACAGTTATCCACACCTTCATCTCCTCACGCTTAGACTACTGAAACTCTCTTTTCACGTGTCTGAGCAGAACCTCCCTGAACCGTCTACAGGTGGTTCAGAATGCCTGTGCTCGGCTTCTGACCAAGTCCTCCAAACACACCCACATCACCCCGCTTCTCCTCCAGCTTCACTGGCTGCCAGTCAACTTCAAGGTTCATTTCAAGATCCTGGTTCTGGTCTATAGGGCCTTACATGGACAAGCACCATCTTACATTGGGGATCTTCTTAGTCCCTACACCCCCAGCAGGTCCCTGAGGTCCAGTGATCAAAGCCTAATGGTTGTGCAGCACCAGGCTAAAGACCAAAGGTGACAGATCATTTGCTGCTGTGGCCCCCAGACTCTGGAACTCTCTCCCCCTGAGCCTGAGATCAGTGGACTCCTTCAAAAAGCAGCTGAAGACTCACTTGTTCAAGCTGGCTTTTGTATGACCTTCTTCACCACTCTCTCTTTATTCTGCTCTCCCCACCTATTCCACCTTCCTCAGGATCCACTGATTTCCCTCTTTCCTGTTCACTCTCTCTCTTTCTTAACATTTTTTCTTTTAAATCGCAATTGCTTATTTTTGCTCATTTTACATATATTTTTAAACATTTTCTAAATGCTTTTTTATATTTTTACATTTTAATTTTTTGTTTTCGTGAAGCGCCTCGTGTGAGAGGCGCTATAGAAATGATATTTTCTTCTTCTTTTCTGCTGGTGGGAAAGAACCTGTCCACTATAACAGCAGCCAATTATCGCATAGTATGTTTCACGGCCATTTTATGGCGCTTCCGCATCCAGTAAGAATCAAAATCTCACTCACTCACTCACTCACTCACTCACTCACTCACTCACATTTCCTGAAACAGGAGCGCCAGAGCTTTTTTCTCACAGAAAAATCACCTACAAGGCATCCATTTACACTAGAAACCACTGCAAATGTGTTGAAAAAACCAGTGAATGAGAGCTTTAAAGAAAATGAACCATTCCTGTCAAAAATAGACAGATATACTTGTTGCCTTCACCTTTCATAATAAAAGCACACATCTCTCTTCATTTGTCTGTTAAATGTGTGGCAAAGTAAACAGACCTTCGCTTAATCCATGCTGATAACTCACTCGTGTTCTCATGTGATGATCGTTGCCATGAGAACACCTGTGTGTGTGCGTGTGTGTTTAAGGACTGAAGGTTTATTTTTGTTGCCATCTTCAGATCATACTACTCTGATTTCCCTCTGTATTTTTATGACATAAACATGAAGTCTGAGGCTTTTATTATTCTACAGGAACATAACTATGGTTTTACAGATTGCTTTAATGCTTCAGGTTTCCATTCATTTACATTCATTCTCGCCTCATATGTAGTTAGGGAATAAAAATGTGTTTTCTGATTGAAATATTGAATATTAACTCGTGTTTCTGGGTAGTTGTGATGGATTCTTTCTACACAGGCTTGATAACAGACTAAAAATAAACCCCGTTATTCTGGGGGTTTTGCAGCAAGGTTGTTTAAACACGACATGTTTTAACTAATTCACAACAGACAAATCAGACGGGTTTGGCTGAGATTTGAACAGTTTGAAAGGAAAGAACCTTACCGTTTACCACGTGGATAATGTCGCACATATTCTCCAACGTCGTGAGCTGCCACTGCGATAACTTGAGGGTCATCGGAAACCTCTAACAGCCTGGTCAAGATCCTTTTAAATAAAAGACACAGAAAGGACGTAGGTTAAAATAGTAACTTTAGTCTTAATTATTCTTTTAGCTTCTTTAGCTTTCAGAGAAACAAAAACAAAACATCAGTTATATCTGAAGGGACAGTTAGTTATTCCCAGATGTGGGCACTTTTCTGAGAAAGTTTAAATTAAGATGAAATGCAATCAAGATTCAGGAGAAACAAGACAAACAAAATGGGGGTAATTTAATCCCAGATGATGCTGAGATAACAGAGCAGACAGTGATGAGACAAAGATGAGCACATCAGAGTGTGTGACTGGACTGAGAAGGAACACAAATCGATTCTTTTATCTCTTGTGGTCCGAGTCTCTCGATTGGAAACAAAACCTACCAAACAAGGTGCCATTGTTGTTAGAAAAATTCCCAAAAAACAAGTGCTTAGGGAGGACAAAATGAGGTAAATGCTCTAAATTACAACTTTGTCACAGCCATGACTGGCTGCAGGGCAATCGAGTAACAGCTCCCCACCGAGCACAAGTGCTTTCAGGAGGAAGTTATTCGTAGTTTTCATGACGAATAGAAGGAGACGTGTTTTTTTTAAGTTACAGGCGAGCAGGATTGAAATCAGACTCAAGAATTTAAGTTTTTTCATCAAAACATTTTTTAAATGTTACAGAACTGGCTTAGAGACGATGTGTAGTTTTTACCTTTAATCTCTGGAAATATCCATCAAAATGCTGAAAATGAATAAAATGATGTTAAGTCGCTGAAAAACATTGGTGGCTTCATAACATGTAACTATAAATGTTGAATCTAAAGTACATAGGGTGCGGGTCTAGCATCTTTGGGCGATGCCATGTTTTCTCCTAGACAGTTTGGGGTCCTGTACCTGTTGATGATGTCACACAAGATGACTGGCTGGATGTACGACTTATGAAAGTTACATTACCATGTTCAAAAACATTTAGAGAGTAAGCAACACACATTTAATAACAAAACTGTTAAACTCTTTCCAAAACGTGTAAAAGAACAGAATAAAAAAAGAGATGCAATATATTTTAGCCAAGCGGTATTGCCGTAGTAATGATGACATCATCGGCAAGCGCAGGACCCCGAGCAGATGAAAAAACTAGCATCAGCATTGCTTTCTCTCATGGAATTAACTGAAGGGCCATCAAAGTCTGAGGAGTCACGCCGAGGTCGCATGCTTTCTGCTCCACAGGTAACATTTACCGTAATGATTTTAACCTAGCGACCGTAGTGTTGTAGTCAAGACCACACTACCCGAGATCAAGACTTTACAAGATCAGAGGCACCGAGACCGAGACAAGACCAACAAGACCATTTATATGAAAGAAAAATTATAATAAAACAAAAATATATATTTTTAGTTGTTTTTTATTTTTGTTAACAAATTGGTCTTTTCTGCATGGAATTACACCATTAATTAAATAATGAAATCACACCATTAATTAAATCAGCAATAATTGAACTAAAAAGTATGTCATGCCAAGCCTGAACATCATGTGATAAAACTTGTTGCTGACGACCTGAAAGTCCAGTTTCTTTCCATGAAAGCTAAGATTTAAGGAGAGCTTGGTTACATTTTTGAAACAAGAGGACTTCCAGCATTCTGTGACCTAAACTTGCACGGTGGGATCTCATGATGATGCCTCCTCTAATGAAAACCCTCTCAACTGGAGCAGAGGTTGCAGGAACTGACAGAACCTTCAGTGCCAAGTTGTGGTAATCTGACTTGGTTTTGGTACCAGAAGACCAGTGCATCATCAGTGTCAGTGTCCTGTGTGGCATCAAAGTATTTGCTTGTCTGTGTTCTGATGCTTGAAACCTGGCTTGAGCTGCACTTTTTGAGAGCTTTGTAGCAAGAAAGAAGACATGAGCGCTTCACTGGAGGTGAATCAGTTGATGGATCACTAGCTGCAGTTGCGGCTCCAAATTCTTCACCTTCACTGTCGATCAAGTCTTCAACCTCAGAGATCAAAGTGTCTGAAAAATACAACAAAATGGAAGAAAATGACTCAATTCGATAGAAAGACATGTAGTGAAAATGTTTGCAGGTTTGAAATAATTAACTTAACAATAAGTTGTTCAGAACAAGCTTATTTCCTAAAGGTGAATTACAAAGTCGGTATCAGAGGTTTAAAATTTGAAATTAAAATCTAATAAATACCAGTACAAGGCTAAATGAAATAAAATCAGTTTTGTTCTCTTGATGTAAATGTACCCATATATGCTACCTCTGAGTTTTTTCTTCAGGTCTTCTCTGAAGGTCTTGGAGATTGTTTCATTTTGCCCATGGGGCGACGGTGGCACAGGAGTTAAGTGCTCGCCCTGTAATCGGAAAGTTGCAGGTTCGAGCCCCACTCAGTCTGTCGCTGTCGTTGTGTCCTTGGGCAAGACACTTAACCCACGTTGCCTGCTGGTGGTGGTCGGAGGGACCGGTGGCGCCAGTGCTAGGCAGCCTCGCCTCTGTCAGTGTGCCTCAGGGCAGCTGTGGCTACATTGTAGCTCATCCCCACCAGTGTGTGAATGTGTGTGTGAATGGGTGAATGACTGATTGTGTTGTAAAGCGCCTTGAGGGGTTCCAGGACTCTAGAAGGCGCTATATCAAATACAGGCCATTTATCATTTACCATTTGAAACATCCAGATCAACCCAGTTTAATCCAAACTGTGGGTTAAGCATTGTGGCTGAACGGTTTCTGCCCCCCACTGTCTTTGGTCAGTTCTGTCTTGGCAAAGATTCCACTGAATCTTTTCATCAAAGACTGATGAAGGGCTTTTATTATAGGCCGACACTGTATTTGTGTCTCCTCCATCTTCAGAAGATGAGTGTTCAGGTCCAGAACAGTCGGTACCACCATGCTAATGGTAACAGCCTTTTCTCCCTCTGTCAGATCTGTCGCCTCTGAGAATGGGGCAAGAATTGAAGTCAGTTCCTTGAGCTGGTTCCACTCACGGGTGCTGAATACCACTTCTTCATAATCCTTGCTACACATTTCTGTCAGAGCTTTATGGTCCAGAGCTGTGAGGGCCTGCACTTGTTTGAAAGTGCTAATCCAGCGAGTGTTGTTTGCAGCTGGAATAGTCTTAGAAAAGCCTAATGCAGCCTCAAGCTCGTCTTTGAACAGTGAGCTGCTGTGAGTTGAAAAGTGTGACGTTTTGGCTATGGCGAGAGAAATGGCTTTAACTTCCTTCATGCCGCCATTCATAACTACTTGCAGGGAGTGAGCAAAACAAGAAAGACATTCACCTGATAACCAGGTAGGCTCTGTGTCTTCCCCAGGATTCATGTCTTCCCAGATGTGCTCATCATCACGGTTTTCCTCCTCACTCTCGCTGTCATCTGACTGCTGTTGCGGCATGTGAACTTTAAAAGCACACTTCATATTAGCAGCATTGTCTGTAAAAATATAACTGATCTTCAGACGGTCCACTATGTTCGCCTGAGAAACATCTACAGTCCAACAAGTAGGATTCATGGACATAGCAATCCCCTGACTTGCTGCACATATGAGCAGTTACTCCGAGGAAGGATTGAAGCCTGGGATCAGACCAAATGTCAGTAGTTAAGGACACTGCTGATGTTTTCTTCAGTTTCTCCACAACAGTCTCCTTAACTTGTTTTTCAAAACTTGGTATATATTTCTCAGTAATTGTTCTTTTTGAGATTGGTGTGTACTTGTAATCCACCGTATCAAGATCAAGAAAGTGTTTAAAATGTTCACTTTCCACAAGGGGCAGCGGCAGACAGCACCCATTTATCAAATCTTTGATAATGGTCTCAATGATTGCTTGCTGCTGTGGGGAATGTTGACTGTAGATTTCCACTTTCTGGGCAAAGGATGGGATAGCTGGCTGTATAGCATCTGCCTCGTAGTCCAGGAACCTTAAATTCAGGGAAAAATAAAATGAGGTGAAACAAACACCAAGAGAGCAGTAAAAAATAGTCATCACTCATCAGGCACATTCCAATGGATGGAGTGCAGATGATGGCTCTCTTTACAAATGAAAGGCAGCTAATCTCTGTTGTTTCCATTGCAACAATATAGACAATCTGCATCACTGATTAAATTAACTTCTGTTCACAAAGGAACATTTTGTTGCTTCCAACAATAAATCCTAACCTAAGACATTAAAACCACAATTAACAAGAAATCTAAGATTGCAGAGGGAAAAATGTGGGCCTGAAACAAGAGAGGTGTTGGAATAGAGGGAGATGTGGAATGTGCAAACAACCTAAACGGAGTTGACTCACCTACATCTACTCCCCTCATGCTTAGCTCTTCTCACCTTCACTGTACCCCCCCCCCCCCCCCCACACACACACACACACAACTCGTCTCTCCCTGTCCCTCTCAGCTGATGACATCAGAAGTGAGTAAACTCCATCCCCAGACTTTCCACTCAGTGATTTTGGCCCTTATCTTTAAAAGTTTTTGTACACTCTTCCAATATAGACTATGAAGCATGCACAACTTAAACGCTTATGTAAAGCTTTCACAAAAGAAGTCTGTCATAAATCCTGTTGGGTGGACAAGTCTAGCTAACTAGATTCAACAGAGAGAACACATGAGGAAGCAAGCCTAAAGCTGGGCGGACACTGTGCGACTTTTTCACTCGTAGCACTCAGCTTCAGCTCAAACTGTACGACTTCCTCGCAGGGCAAATCTCACGAGTCAAGTGCTCACACTGTACGTCCCAGTTCTCGGATGAGACCTGACTGCTCACACTGTACGTCCCAGTTCTCGGATGAGACCTGACTGCTCACACTGTACGTCTGGTAGCAACATGTCGGCCCTAAAAATATGCTAAAAATAGCAGTTTTTACTCAGCACGTCAGACTGTTTTGTCTTGTTTTTCCTGTTGTCCTTCAGGAGTGCTGCAGGAGGACACACAGGGATTTATGGGGGTTGGATGAGGAAAACGAAATAAAGAAAGTAAATCTGTGTTTTGTGATCAGTTTCATTTGACATGAACACGACAAACACGCTTTCTTGACAATCTTTGTGAGTAAAAAAAATGTGCAGAAATAAAAACGAACAACGTGTGTTATTAGGGAAATAGCGGGCGAGAAGTGTTGATGCAGGATTGCGCATGCGCCGTGAGCGGTTCTGGTACGTTTTGGGTCGCAGCCGCTTGCAGCGCCACTTCAACTGTGCGATACCCTCACGAGGAACGAGCAAAATATCAAACACGCCAGAAGTCCGTGAGAGCTCACGATTGCTGATCGGTAGCTGGTCACTTGGTGTTAATTGCCTCTCGTAACCCCCTGTACACTACACGACGCTCAGCGCAAAACTCGCCCCGATCTCGTGGATTCTCGCACGAGTGGAAAATCGGCTCAAAAAAGTGAAAAAGTTGCACAGTGTACGCCCGGCTTAAAGGACATCTATCAAGCACATTCCAAACACGATGGCTATATTTACAAATGAAAGGCAGTTAATTGTCAGTGACTGGGTTATTAGTTTCAAACCAAGCAGCCGTAGCAGCCGGCCGCCATTTTAGATGGGTTTCCATTTGCCCCCAGTGCATTTATTTCTACTGAGGAAGGTGCTTAACCTCCAAACACACCCACATCACCCCGCTTCTCCTCCAGCTTCACTGGCTGCCAGTCAACTTCAGGGTTCATTTCAAGATCCTGGTTCTGGTCTATAGGGCCTTACATGGACAAGCACCATCTTACATCGGTGATCTTCTCAGTCCCTACACCCCCAGCAGGTCCCTGAGGTCCAGTGATCAAAGCCTACTGGTTGTGCAGCACACCAGGCTAAAGACCAAAGGTGACAGATCATTTGCTGCTGTGGCCCCCAGACTCTGGAACTCTCTCCCCCTGAGCCTGAGATCAGTGGACTCAGTGGTCTCCTTTAAAACGCAGCTGAAGACTCACTTGTTCAAGCTGGTTTTGGTGTAACCTTCTTCACCACTCTCTTTATTCTGCTCTCCCCACCTATTCCACCTTCCTCAGGATCCACTGATTTCCCTCTTTCCTATTCACTCTCTCTCTTTCTTTACATTTTTAATCACAATTGTCAACTTTTTTATTGCTCATTTTAAATATATTTTTAATCATTTTCTAAATTCTTTTTTTACATTTTTTGTTTTTGTGAAGCACCTCGTGATTTTTATCTTGAGGCGCTATAAAAAAGATCTTTTCTTCTTCTTCCTCTCGAACAACTAAAAATTATGTTAACCTCTGTACACAAAGAAAATGTATGTAATGTTTGTTGCGTCCACAACAATAAATCCTGGGTAACCTTAGTAGAGTTTGGAGTGTGTGGAGACCCACCAAATATGGCGGTGACATCCTTATGTTCTCCAGCCCCCAATGGGGCGTCTACGTATTCATGTCTATTTGCCTGAAACGACAATGGAAAGAAAAAGTTAAGCTTATTTTTCACTTATTGTCTCTATATGGGATAGTTGAAATTTACCAAGTCTTTTTATATGTCTCATTAATATTAAACACTGTATGGTAACTGTTAGCTTACCTGTCTTTGTGCTTCCTTTCGAGGTGACGGTAAAAAGTTGACGTCATTCCAGCTGTTTCGGTGAGCAGAGCATTGCAGAATTTGCACTCTGCCGAGTGTTTTCGTTTACCAAGTTCACACAGCTGCTGGTTTTCTTCCTGTTGTCTCTCCCCCCGAGGGCTTTAACACTAACTAAATACTCAGGGGGTGTGTCAGTTCGGTGTTACAGCATGCATATGGCAGCTGGGGGAAATTGTTACACTACCAATGACTTAAAATTACTATTAAGGTCTCGAGCGGTCTCGGACCCCCCACCCCCACCCACGGAGAACTCGTTCCCTCCAGAGAGCATGATCTGTTAAATTCTCAAATAACACAGACCAGCCATGATGCAAAGTCAGATTCCCGTCGGGCACAGGTGTCTTCAGAATTTGTGGATGAGGAACACGCTGAATGACTGTGGACTAGTTTCCATCTAAGATTTGATCAAAATCTAGCTGATACATGTGGTTATAGTATCTAAATAAAAGATTAGACTCAATTGGAAAATTCTAATCGACAGGAGATTAGGGGTGATGCATCCTCACAAATTGTAGGAAAATGACATATATGAACAAGAACCCAAAACATTTTTTCTGCAACTGCAGCTTGCAGCAATTGTTAACACCAGGGACCACCTTTAACTTTCTATAATCCATTGTTACCGGACATTGTGAATCTATTGAAACAACCCTCTGCACAATACAACGTCCACTGATAAATTATTGGAATGTAAATGCATCACAACATAATTTACATCATTTCATCACATGATGTAAATTATACCCGTTTTGTCATGAATGTGATACTGAAATAATCAAACATGCAAAACCTAATTTCAATCCCTCAAATGTAAAGACGTGGAAGAGTTTAGAGTTTATAGCAGCAGCGAAGACATCAAAGCTCTTGACAATCAAGACAATCCGCTCTGGGAAATTCGCACTATAATGTAAAAACGTACAGAAATGGTTTCTTTTCCTGCCAGTATCTCCCATCAGCCTGCAGCGAAGCCTAATTTGAGTCCTTCAGTGACTCAAGCCACTGCTTTCAGCAGCATTGTTGTTCTGTTCTTGCTAAAGTGTCGAGGTAGTAATAAATCAAGTTTTCAAAGGCCAAAGAGGAAATGAACACTGCACAACAGCCTATATCTTACTTGAGGAGCTCATAGTTCTTCTCGTTCAGCCTGATGGCGTTTTCACGCCAGAACTTCTCAGATTTGTGCACAGGACTCCACTCCAGGCGGCCGGACTTGAGCTCTGAGCTATACTCGTCGAACGAGCTGTTGGAACAAAACCAAATTAATAAAGAGGGAGGTCTTCTGTTCATTATTTTAAAAATGCAGAAGATACTTTTATCTAATCCTGAAGAGAGAAGTTAAAAGGGACACATTCATGTAATCATATCAGCATTCACTATTTAATGAAGTATTTATACACAAAAGCACAGAGTCCTCAGTTCTTAAGAATGTTTAAATATGCTGAACGATTCCTCCTCAAAATATGTCATATAAGTTCATATGTTGAGGTCCAGTGAGTACCTGAGATCCTGGACGCTCTCTCCCAGCCGCTCCAGCAGGAACTTGATGTCATCAGTGATGTCCTCATCGTCGTACTTCTGCTGCTCAAGATTTTCCAGCTGCTTCAGCACCTTGCACTGAATCATGGCCAGGGCGTACTCTTGGCGAGTCTCCCTCTCTGCAGACTTCTCCAGCAGATTCTGTCAAAAGCGTTGAAAGGTCGGAAAGAAGCTATCAGAACTGGTCCAAGGTGATGCAGAATTTATAGGTGACACTTTATCACACAAAACTGGAGCAATTTGTCAATTAATGCAGCAATTGACAATGTTTGCCTTGAGGTAGATGGTAGGTAGATTTTTTTTAGGATTCAATTTCCGATGTTATGAGTGCGAGAAAGAAATGAAACAGAGCTGCTTGTTGTTCAAGGTCTGAAAACCCTGTTTCTGAAGGAGAAAGTTTTTTCTTTCAGCTTTGATCAAAGCTGAAAGAAAAAACTAACGACAACATAAATCCTTCTGATGGCATTTTCAGCATTTTAAAAAGAGCAAAAACATAAAAACAAATTACAGCCTAATAAGATTCCAAAGTGGGTCAACCCCAAAACTAGCATCTGAAGAAGTTTTCTGACAGAAACTCCTGCTGAAGGTAAACAGATGTTAGAAATGTCCTTTGTAAAAAATAATTAACACACTTTCTAAAGATTTTGTCACCAGTTTAGTTGCAGGGAATGCAGCACTTCCTCTGCAGAGCTACATTTGAAGATGTGTTCAAGGACAACCAGATGGTGTGGATGATTTAAGTCACTCTGCTAGTCCCATGTGGTGAGCAGAATCATTTGCATAATGAGGACATTTGGGAAAACAAAAACACGAGGAATAATGTTGATTATATTTTTAAAAAAGCATGAAACTTTTACAAGTGATAATCCCAACTTCCTGCAAATTTACTGTGACACATGGGGACCCATTGGGTCTCAACATGACAATCCAATCCTCAAATAATCGTTGAACAGCTGTTCTGTCAAGAGAATCTAGTGTAAAATAAGGAAATTTTTAAAATCAAAAACCACTTGTCTCTTATTGTTAGTGGACGTCGAAAACTATTTTTGCACCAATTAAAGGGACTTTTCGGACTTTTGAGTTTTTATGCTCGCGATTGCACCCTCAGGCCAAAAGTGTAATGGCAGCTTAAATAGCAGGCTCGTGCATGAGATGCGCATGCTGTACGTGCACACTCCTTAACAAAAATAACAGCTGAGACAGTCCCGTGTATGTGTGTGTGTGTGTGTGTGTGTGTGTGTGTGTGTGTGTGTGTTTGTGTGTCCCGGAGGACAGAAGAACACAGCAAATTAATAAAAATAATGTGCCTCTGTCTCTGCAGCTGCACTTTCTTGTCGGCCGGTCGAACGTGTAGTGTGTGTGTGTGTGTGTGTGTGTGTGTGTGGGGGGGGGGGGTGACCCAGGGGACAACACGCAGCTAATTAATTAAATAATTTGGTTCCGCACCTTTCTCTTCAGCACAGCCGACAAACGTTTATGATGGGTCAGTCCTCCTCAGATCATTCCCTTCCCTTGCTTGAAAAATAGTTCCGAAATGAAAGTTGAACCCACATCTTTTTTATCCGTGAATTCAATGCCTTTCGGCGAGTCTCAAATAAAAATTTGGGCATCTTATTAGTGTGAAAAAATTGTCATTAATGTAAAAAAAACTCCAAATAACAAACTTTATTCACACCCGGAATCGAAACCAGGTCTCCTACATGAGAGTCAGACATCTCACTAAGTGAGCTAAAGCGCCAGTGACGTTCTTTGTATCTGTAACATTTATATCCTTGATGACAGCTGAAACAACGTCAATCCAAAGAACGGTTCGGAGCGAAAATGGCTATTTTGTTGCTAATTTGCAGGAAATATCTAGAAGAAAGTAGCTAAGGTCCTTAGAAATGTAGCGAAATTTGTCACTTGGCGTTAGGAACAGCAACAGTCGCCGAGTTGGCACTACCTCTCTCTCTCTGCTGCTAAAGCTATGGATAGCAAATGCTACAGGCTATGCCTGAGCGTAAACCAGGCCCCCACAATGGAGAGTAAATCTGACAATCGTCGGCATAGAGATGGAACACGAGGCAATTTTTACGAAAGATTGACCCCAGAGATCAAATAAATGGCAAACAAACGAGGACCAAAGATCGATCCCTGCGGGACCCCCCAGTGGAGCCCCTCCCAAGAAGAAAAAACATCACCTAGTTTAACCAAGCCCCCACAATGCGGCTCAAAAATTGAAGCAATCCCGGAAGTACCAAAATTGCAGTTCCACCCTCATCCGCTGGGGGCTGGTGTCAGAAACGAGCAAATCCTCATCGACTCCCATGTTAAAAATACCAATTTCACAGCAGAAATAAACATGTTTACAGCCTGGTTCCAAAACACAGTTTTGGTTTAAATTATCTAGTTTACACTCATGACAACTCTGAGTGGGGGTGAATTTTTTTCTCACCCTTCTGTTTAAGTGTATTAAAAGCCTAAAATTCTGTATAATTAATGAGCATCAGACCCACGTGACCACAGAGCTAGCTCCGTGGAAAGGCCTCAGTAGAGCCTCGGTCTGGCCTGGAAACTGCTCCGGGATTTTGAGTCTCTGTGTTTGTGTATTCTGTTTTGGATATTATTTGTGCAATTGTTGGACAAAATGACTTGCTGTGGCATTAATTGCACTAATAGAGCGCCCAAGGAGTCTCCACTTCATTTTTTTCGCTAAGTAAAATTATATTTATGTATTTTAGGTCACTGCCGAGCTGAGCTTAGATTTTAACATGTACTGTTTAACCAAGAAATTTAAATGTAATAGGGTAAAACCCAGTGCATTTAACATAATGCTGCACTTTAGAAAATGGGTTGAAATATAACATGCTGGTGGAGCTGGGTTCCGACTATCGGCTTGTAGAGCTCTCGGAGACCGATGTTTTCCACCTGTTCTCCCCTCCCCGCAGCTCAGCGCATCTCTGTCTGATCACGGCTTCTGTCTGCTGCGTGGGCTACCGGCTTGTGGAGCTCTGGGATGGAAACCTTTCCACCCGGTTCTCCCCAGCGGCAGCTCTGCACATCTCAGATCGCAGCGGCGCTTGTCTGCTGTGCGGCTGCCGGCTTGTGGAGGTCTCGGAGATCTCTGTGTTCCACCCGGTTTTACCCAGCGGTCAGCCCGGCGTATATCTGACTCAGAAGCTCTGGTGTTGTGCACAGTTAACTCCGGTTGTAGCTAGGTTGCTACCTCTGTTAGCTTAGTTCCCACCTCCACGTTAGCTTTGGGTTAGCTTCAGGTTAGCTTGTAGCTAGTTTGACCGGGTGTCGTCAGTTGATCCCAGCCTTACAGCCCCACTCTCAGCTCCACCTCTCTTCCCTTTTGTGGAATTGTCTGGGCTTGACGGAACCTGTGACACGGTCAAAATGGCGGTGGTGGCCACCTCCCATTTCTCCTCAAAAATGTGTTATTGGAGCCTATGGAAACCCATCGTCCAATATTTATATGTCGATGGCGTGAACGCACATGAAGCAGCCTGCTCGACCCGAGCATCTCTCTTTTTCTGTGATTTTACAGAAAAACAGGCAATCACAGTAAAAATGCCAGGGCTCATTCTCCAGGACCAGGGCATTGAAGGAGAATGTATGAAGAAGAAATTTATTATTTATATACATGTTTTGACTGTCAAACTTCCATAATGCCCCTTTAAAGAAAAACTAGGCAGTTTTGGCTTGTTTTAGCACCTCCTAGTGTCCATTTAGTAGAAGCAAATGCAAAACTTGTCTTCTCGCTGTGTGTTTGATGTTAATCTAACAGCTGAAATGTCTCCTCAGCCTTCATTAGTGTCCACAGGAGCGGTTCATCCTTAAATAAAAAACTCAGTTGATCTAAAACATGCAGGAAACGTGCTGCATCAGACCACAGTGCCAGTATGTCAAATCCATTTTTTTTTTCAAATCAAACAGATTGGACAGGTGTCGAGCCAAAAGTAGCATGCCTCTTGAAATTTGCATCCACTGTTGAGGAAAGGCGGAGTAGCCAGGTAACTTCTAAATAAATGTACAAGGGCCTGGCGACAGGGCTTAAATAAATTTCACAACCTATTTAGGATTTCACCTTGATGATGATAAATGGACGATAACTACAGGAATACGCAGGAATAAAAGTGGTCCACTAGATGGGGCCGTCACATGTATTATGTTACGTGACTCAAGGTGGTACAGCTTCTCAAAGGAACGTTGCCAACCTACAGCATCTTTTTATGTTTTCATTATCAAATTTATTGACATGGGGAAAATTATCTCGATAAGAGTCCGAAATTTCGATAATGATAACTTTTCAATTAATATCCCAGCCCTAAAATGTACTATTAACATGTTTGTCATCTGCGTGCTTCCTTACAAAATGATTGTTTATGGGTCACATTGATGCTTCTTTTAAACCAACAGCAAAATAGTTTAAGCACAAAAAAAAAATAAAACTCACTAAACCATTAGCCCCCCAAACGTGTTAAAAACATTTAATCACATTTGTAGTAAAAACAAAACCTTTTCAGGAGAAGCACAGATTAGAAACGTGTTCACATTCTGACTGTATTAAAAACAGCCTCATCACTCATTTGCAATCTGAGGTTGTTTCGACAGGGAATGCAAATTTCAGCAGACACGCTCTTTTCGACACAACACAAGCAACTCTGGCATTGCATGTAGAATATTCTGGCCACAGGGGGAGATGGGGCTGAGTGGCCTTTCGTTATCATGAAAGCACACAGCGGCTCAAGAAAATGATTTAAAAATAAGAAAAAGTTGATTTGTGTCTCTTTAAAGACAGAGACTCCTTATGGGTGCTTTACTAAAAGTCTTCAAAAGTCACAAGAGGTAAGCTGAACAAAGCCTAGTGTGAAACTAAAACAAGACACATTCCACGATATAAAGGAAAAAAATACAGTTTATAATGTGATTAATTTACTGAAGCAAGTAACCACTGCAGCTGTGAAATGCTGATGGAGACTCATAGAAAAAGAGGCCAGTAATTCAAGGAAAAAAAAATCCTATGAAATGGGTTTGAAAATCAGCGTACTTCCAGCTCATGTTTCAAACATGTAATCAAAGCCATTTATTACACCACTGTACTTGGACCAAAAAACCTACCGGAGCAAGACCGTCTGATGCAGCCGGGTCAGACA